TTGTAAAACCTTAAAGTGTAAACCTTGTGAAACCTCTATCTGTTATTGAACGTATACCTTGGTGCGACTTCTTGAGGAGTTACTCTGCCTGCTCTGAATTTCCTTTGCCGGAACTTGCAACTGGTCTAGCTTTGGATCTCGAACTTCCTTTGAAACACCTGATTTCTGTTCCGAATCACCTGAGGACAGACTACTCGGAACGTATGCTTCACTAACATCATTGATTATATCAACATGTTTTACATGGGAATTCTCGCAAATGGCCGTCACTGAAGAACTTTTCAAGTCAAACCCAAACAATCTGCACGAGGCAACACTGTCCGATTTTTGCCAACCCGAAACATTTTTACTCTCTTCTTTTTCATCACCGTTCGTGCCTTGAAAGGCATTTATAGCAAGCGGGGAATTCCAGCCCCCGTCCAATTGTTGTTTAGCCAGTAAGTTAACAGTGTTGTTGGTCCTTGGTGCTTCGAAAGCATGATTTATTTGATCATGAGATGGATTCCTGGCGGGTGATGCAGATGACGTCATAATATCTACAACATCGAATGTAATTAGCAAAATATGTCAGTGTCCAAACATAGAAGGATATAGAAAATGAGGGGGATAATTTCAAATAGTTCCCAAACTGGCCAAACCACCCAAGTTTCATCCAAATAAATCTTGCTCAATCTATTAGTTGAACCGGTATGATTCACAGATATAGAAAGTTGAAGGATGTAATTAGAAAAATATATAATAGTGTTGACAACTTCCTTAACTCCACTAACGATAGATGCCAAATGTTAAATTATGTAAACATCAAGGGTGGTTTTTGAAATTTTAAAAAATGGGTGCTCTTATATTTTTTAGCCACTTATGCAAAAACCTAAAGAGTACTTTTTTAATCATCCTTAAAATGAAGTAAAGCTCAGATCGAAAATCTAACCCGGTAGTGGGATTTCAATGTTCGGCCGAAGTCTCTTATGTTTCACTATGGGCGGCTGAATTGTTGTGGGGACAGTTGCAACAAATGGTTCAATCTCCCACGGGGAAACCCTCTCGGGTCTTGGAATAGATGCAGGCTCATCCCACTGAACCTGGAGACATACAAAAATTTGAAAAAAAAAAAAAGGGATAATAGAAAGAAGAATCCAGGAATATGAGCAAATGTACTGACCTTTAATGTTCGCCATTTCGAATTTTTCCAGTGTTGAGAAATATCCTCCACCCCGACAATTGTACCCGAAAACCTAATAGCCAAGAGAAAGAAGATGAAGTTTAGTAACCTAGAAAAAATGGCTTCTAAAATAATCAATTCTCAGTAGCTCAACCAACCTCCGCTCTGGAGAATCATCCCCCTCAAACCGCATCTTGAATCTCATACCAACTCCAAATTCTTGATTTACAGCTTCTAGAAACTTGTTCAGTCCAATGATGAATTGACTAGTCCTGAATTGCAACAAAATAAAAGGTAAGGAAACAAAATCATAAGATAGCCCCCAGCCCGTAAGCCCATAAGGCCTGAGTGCCGATCAGGGGAATACACGGCCTGAAAGTTGGGTAAAAAATGAGACACATTATGTGAACCGGACCTTGGTTTGTAATAAACAACAAAGAGGGTCTGTGTTAAAACGGCATGAGATGCAGTTGCAAGGACTCCCAAGTGCATGCTCTGGCTTGAAATTACTGACGACGGCATGGAATTCTGTTGCCGGGCATGTCGCCTGACACCAACACGTAATTCTCCACTCTCTCCCCTGGGACAATAAAAAATTCAGAAACATCGAGGATTTTAAACCCCATATGTATAATCATCAGACGAGTACCTTAGAAACACGAAAGAATCACCCGCTACTAATCTCTTGGAGGAGACAAACGTGCTCCACCCAGTTGTGAGCAAATGCCTCCGAGGTTGACCTGCTCGGTCCAAATGAAGGTCTATTTTTAACTTGTAGTCACAAAATTAGGAATATTATATTTATCATGCTTGAATTGATCACACACCTCAGTTAATTGGTTTTTAAGGATAAAATTCATTAATTTGAAGCTGCGGGCATAATTTTGTATCAATGAGTTTCAGACAAAGTGAGATTCAAGTGATTAGAAATGGGATACCTCTGAATATATGCTTAAAATGCCATGCCGTTCCATGAAGATCCTTAGCAACCAACTCCTGAGTTGGAGTCGGTTGGTTCATATCCTATCAAAGAGGATCAAGATTCAACAAAACAAAAAATATAACTAAATTCCTCAAAAAAAATGTCAGATGTGGTGTGCAGGTACACAATAATAGTATGTTAATGTGTTTGCATTAACTTATGCTTCTAAAAATAAGTGATCTATTCTACATTGAACATAAAAAAGCAGAAAATCAAAGTTGCCACATGGTGAATAAGTTGAACAAATGCTTCATTTGTGTGTGTGTGTGTGTGTGAGTGTGAAATCTCAAACTAGAAGCAGAATCAGAAATCTAAAACAAAGCAGACCTCAAACAACTTTCGGAAGGATGAATCTACATTTACAAACATTAACTCTACCCTTTTCATTATTTCTTTTTTCAATCACAAAGTCAACTACTATTATTTTTTCAGTTTCAAGCACTGTCAGAGTAGGGGTGGGGAGATTCGTTACCAGGGGTGGAAGACACTCGTTTGCATGTTTTCGGAGGACAGAAAATCCACCGTGTGTGCTAGTATCTGAGGCAGTGAGAACTTTGCAGAAGGAGGAAACGGCAGGCCTAGGAGGTTCGCCAGGACAATTATCCAGACTTCTCGGTTCAGTTTGCTAAATATATTAATCTCATGTCAATACTTCTAAATCAGGCCAAAATCAAAAAGCAACAAGATAGGAATAAGTTCTTACATCTGCTTCTGGCATCAGGGTAATTTGTGCATAAACTTCATCAGTATCTTGCTCAGCCTATCATATCGGATCAATTTGTGATACAGTTTTGTCACTTAGATCTAATTAATAATAAACTTTATATTCTTGAATAAGAAAGTCAAGATAAAAATTGCCAGTTAAAGAAAGGTAACAACAGCAAGAAAATTGAGTGTGCCCCGGCTATGTACCCAAATTACGAACTATACTTCATCGATCTACAATCTACATACACCCAAGGTAGAAACATAAGGGAAAAGAATAGGAACCATACCAGTAACTGAATGTTGAATACACGACATAGGATCTTTGTAGGGAGATTAAATATCGGTATCCTTTGGTTCAACTCCTGATTTGTAGATGCCTCCAACTAGCAAAAGAACCCCATAAACAGGATGAGCTCAAAAACATCAACAAAAACACAAAACAATAACATAAAAGGTATCAATAGAAATGGCGAATAACTCGGTTAAGCATTGCCTCCAGAATCAATTCCCTCCAATCCCCATAGGAGGCTCTTCTCCCTTCCATTCATAGGTTTTGTACTCAAAAATAATTAAAACAAACATTCAACATATGTTAAGCTCCAAGCCCAGTTTTCCACCCAAAAGATCTGAACTTTTTTTTATTACCACCAAATTAAAACTAATAACAATAAGCTCCAATCCCAGTTTTCCACCCAAAAATATCTGAACTTTTTCACTACAACCAAATTAAAAACCAAAAATAATCATAAGAGAAACTACATCAACATTCAAACACAACTCACTTGTTCCATGTGCCCTTGCGGGAAATAATAAACCCTTTCCCCAACCTTACGAACGTCCACCAAAGGACCTGCACAGGCTTTCCATAGCTCTTCATACAAAGCATCCTTTACCTCGTTTCCTGAAAAAAAAAAAAAAA